TTCTCTCTGATAATAGCTTTCTCCCTGTTACAGAACCTCTATCTAAATTCTTTTAGTCAGTAAAAGGGGAGGTAAAAAGAAAAACTTCCTGAGCCTTCCATTTCTTGAAAATAAGCAGCCTAAAATAATCCTTATGCCTAAGAGACATATTTAGGTGGCAAATTTTACTCCTCTACATGACTAAGATATATATGGCCAATGAGATTTAAATGGAAGTCTTCAGCATTTAGGCTTCTCAAAGAGAGTGGCATCCTTTTACCCCTCCCGCTTTCTCCTTCCTGCTGCCCATAATTCACAGGTTATGGCTGCAGTTCCAGCAGCCATAGACGACCTATAATGGAAGCCGTGAATGGCAGAAGAGGAAGACAGAAAGAGTCCTGATCCCCTTGGAGCCTTGGAGCCTTCATAGCTGCTGAAAACAGCCTACCCATTTTAATGGCTTCTTTCATGTGAAATAATAACAACTTGTGTATTCTAGCTTCTGCAGTCAGTTCCATTTTCTTGAAGGTGAACAAATATTCTAACTGAGTCAAGATCTTAGAAATCAGTGCTTCAACAAATGGTGCCCGGAAAACTGGATATACACATGCAAAAGAATGAATTGGACCCTTATCTAACACCGTACACAAAAATTAATGCAAGACAATTATACATAAACATAAGAGTTAAAACTATAAAGCTCTTAGAAGAGAAAAGCTTCATGACACTGGATTTGGCAATGATTTCTTGGCTATGACACCAAATGCACAGGAAACAAAAGAAAAAATAAAACAAATTGGACCACCAAAATTAAAAACTTTTGTGGATCAAAGAAAACTGTCAACAAAGTAAAAAGCAATCTGTAGAATGGGAGAAAATATTTGCAAATCACATATCTGACAAGGAATCAATATCCAGAATATATAGAGAACTCCTAAAACTCAATAACAAAAACTAATCAACCCAATTCAAAAATGGGCAAAGGACCTGAATAGACATTTCTCCCAAGAAGATATGCAAATGACCAATAAGCACATGAAAGCATGTTCAACATGGCTAATTGTGAGAGAAATACAAATCAAAGTCACAATGAGATATCACTTCACATCCTTTGGGATGACTACCATCAGAAGAACAGAGAACAAGTGTTGGTAAGAATATGAAGAAATTGGAACCTTTGTGAATTACTGGTGGGAAGCAGCAATGGAGAAGCCACTTTGGAAAACAGTATGGTGGCTACTCAAAAAAACCAAGAAACAAAAAACATAGAATTACCATTTGATTCAGCCATTCCTCTTCCGGGTATATATACAAAAGAATTGGAAGCAGGGACTGGAAGAGAGAGTTGTACACCTGTGTTCACAGCAGCATTATTCACAATAACTCAAAAGTGGAAACAACGCAAATGTCTGTTAATTGATAAATGGATCAACAAAATTTGGTATCTCCATACAATTAAATATTATTCAGCCACAAAGTAATGAAATTCAGAACATGCTACAACATAGATGAACTTTGAAGACATTATGCTAAGTGAAATCAGCTAGACATAAAAGGACAAACATTGTATGATCCCACTTATAAGATGTATCTAGAGTAGTCAAACTTGTAGAGACAGAGTATAATGTTGGTTATCAGGGAGTTGAGAGAGGAGAGTAAAAAAATTACTATTTAGTTTAAATGACTACAGAGTTTCAGTAGCTTTCTCAGCTAGAGTCACAGGTGAGAATTAAGACCTAACACCTTAAGGCATCTATTTGGTGTAATGAATTAACTTTTCTCCTATGCATCTGGAATGGTACTAGCTAAATATCATGCTTCACAAACTTGAGAATAAAACACAATAAATACACTGTATTAAAATTAAGTTTCAAAAAATATGATAACATCAAATAAAATAAAAATAAACAAATAAACAAATAAATAAATAAATAAATAACAACAACGTTTCAGTTTGGGATGATGAAAAAATTCTGGAGATGGATAGTTGCACAACAATGTAAAAGTATTCAATATCTCTGAACTGTACACTTGAAAATGGTAAATTTTATACTATGTGTATTTTACCACAATAAAAATATTATAAATCAATCAATCATCAATCAGTCAATCAGGCAATACAACTCTCTTGTTGACAGATAAGCTGAAAAAGTATTTGCTCAGAATTGCACAGCTACTGGAGTAGTCAAAAGAACAAAACCTGGATGTCCATCCTTGGGTCCTAAGCACTGCCCAAGGCCCTTTTCTTGGTGCGCCTTGGGCAGGGCTTAGGACTCAAGGATGGATATCCAGGTTTTGTTCAATTACCTACCCTATCTCTGCAATATAGAAACCATTTTAATTCTTTACCTACCTGCGGTTTCTACCTTGAGGGTGAACAGTTCTGCAGGGGTGGCAATATAGAAGTAGGGGTAGGGGCTGGGCCTGAGGTCCCATCTCAGGCCCTCTCTATAGGGAAATGAAGTTCAGGACACTCGTTCTAAGTCCAGGGGAGGAAGGTAAGCTGCCTTTTCGCTCAAGGGAATGAAGGATTATGTAGGAATTTGCCATCTGCCTTCCCAACCCCAACATTCCTCTTACCTCACACATTGCCCCTGGCTACCAGCTGCTGGAGCCTCATGGGTATTTGGTATTTGGTCTCCCAAACTAGGTTAGAAATTCTCTGAGAACAGGGATCACATTCTTCTTTGCAAATGCTACTCTTCCTCACCTCTTTCCTAACCCTCACTCCAGCATCTGACAAGCATCTCCCCCAGGGCCCATCACTCAGTAGCCTTTAGGGAACTTGTCTCTGGCTGCTTCATGCTCCCAAGCTCACATACCTTGTCAGAAGGAGCACCTTGGAAATTCTCTTGGTTGTTCTCTGGGTAACTGCAGAGGTCCAGGAAGGCCAAAGCTGGCGAGAGACAACAAGAAGTTGGATGGAGCCTGGGAGTGGGCAGTAGGGTCAGTACAGGGTCCAAGCGGTGGGTAGTAAGTGGCTGCCACAGACCCAGAAGATGGGCCTGAAAGCCTGGTGAGGTGGTC